ATCAGAGAGAGAAGTTAAGCCAAACGAATGCAATCCCGGACTTCACTTGATTTTCGGTAACTTCTTTTTTGTCGTTTTGTTTGCAGATCTACCTGAATCGTCAGCCGAATCCAAGGAAAAAATTACTAGTTCCTTGCAACCTTGTTCCACCAAATCCTAAGTGTTACGTTTGTGCCGCTAAACCAGAGGTAAGAAAGAGGCAAAGTGGTCCTCAAAGCAATTTTATTGACGAGAGGGGCTAAAATGGTTCAACCAAAGTATACTCTGTATCCATTAGTCTCTTTAAGAAGGAAAATTATTTCCGTTCCTCCACTTATCGTTGTTTTTGTTTAACTTTTTTCACTGAATGCACAAACGATCTGGTCACTGACTACTCTTTTCTCTTTTTGTTAGGTGACTGTCTTCTTAAACACCGAAACTCTTACAATCAAGGCGTTAGAGGAGAAAGTGAGTGAAAACACTCTTCACGAAGTCTTCTTTTGACAGAACTTTCTCTACTGCTCTTCTTCAAGGGATGTCTGTCTCTCTTGTCTGTGTATTGTTGAGAAAAAAATAAAAAGAGATGCAGTTGTCAGATTTGGCCGACAAGAATAAGTGGCCCGTGCGAAAAACTGAAGGAAGTGAGAAATATTTCGATCTAAATAAGTCAAAGAGTTTAAAACGCCTAAGTGGTCGAAATTCAACTTCATCGCAATACCAAAAAGTTTTGTAACTTATACTGTTTACTTTAGCACATATTTGCCTTTTGTGATTTCTTAACGGTTTGAGTAGATGTTTATAAAAAAAATTTAAAGTGCACCTAAACCCAAAATTTTTTTTGCGCTTAACGAAATAAGCTTATTATAGGATGATCCTGCCTCCATGGACTTTGTTACAAGCGCAGCAAATATCAGAGCACACATCTTTAGTATTCCCATGAAAAGCCGCTTTGACGTGAAAGGTTTGTGAATCATAGAATATACTTCACCTAGATTCACTCTAACTATCAAGCCGTNCTACAACACACTTAGTCGGCATATTTTCGGACAATTATCGACTACAACCTTCCCAAACAAGTGAAAATGTGTGAAATGCAGACTTTCGTGTTCTCGATTTGACGTCACATTACCCACTAGAGCCATTCCTCTTTAAACTCGGTCGTGGGGCAAGATGGCGGCCGATTTTCCGTATTTTGACTGGGCATAGAAAATTGAAGATTTGAGCAAATAAAAAAATTTTTGCGCAGAAATACTCAAAAAAATAAGCTTACTTCGTTAAGCGAAAAAAATTTTTTGGGTGTAGGTGCACTTTAAGCTCTGCTCAAAAGCGATTTTGTGCGTTTACTTTTTAGATGCTAAAGGAGAGATTTGGTATGGTAGCACCTGATGTCGAGATTGAGGATGGAAAAGGTAAACTTTTCTCTACGTTTTTATTCTTTTTCAGGGCTGTGGTCTAGCAGTGCCCGGTGGCCACTGGCGCCTTACATTTGTTCTTGGGCGACCCAGGAATCTTAGTTTTTTCATAAAAAGCATATGCTGAGCACCCTGGATTTCACAGTTTCTGGGTACTGGGCTCTCTTTAATTTTTTTTAGAGCACAGCCTTGTTTTTATTTTTCCTCTTCAAGACTCTCCTTGATCTAGTATAACCAGTATTTTGGCTCTCTTTTATTTCCGTTCTTAGGGATCAGTGTATCTCCCATTTAATCACAAACAAACCAGGGTATGGAGCAATTCCTTAGTTTTGATTGGCTCATAGGCAATGTTCTCTTAGTTCATATACCACGGAAATGAGATGGTTATAGTCAACGGGACGTGTGACGCCATCTAATGTCTCGTATTCAAGGCCCGCCCACAGTCGCTGGATAATTGTTGGCAAGAGATTATCAACAAATAAAGAGTTTATAATCTCTTTTTATTGGTATCAAATATTTCGAGTTCGTCCACAACCAAATTTAAATTGTTCAATTGCTCGATTCACATTCCAACACAACTAAGCGAGAATCACACAAGATGTGTGTAAAACAAAACCTAGCTAGCTTGCGAGAGCATGTGCTTCGAATCACGTGACTAGGAACTGTCAATCATTTCTTACAAGTGGATCACTACATCATACACGGTGGATTTGACTTATTTTTTTATGCGGGAAAATCGCACTCATGTTATGGCTTGCAAGCGAGAGAATTTGAAATAACTGCATGTGATATGTATGTTTGTTGTCCATACTACATGTATTATTGCCGCCGTCGTTAGCATTCAGAAGGCAGAGTATTTTTTTCACTGTTCTTACTTTTTTCAGGTAGCATATTAATATCCAGTGAAGAGGGTGAAACTGATGGTGAGTTATGCGCATTTATGATCGCACGATTTGTAATGTGCACCTTGTGTGACATAAGTATGCAATTTAGCAACACAACTTGAAAAAAGGAAACAAGTATACTTGTTTCCTTCTGAACTGGAACTAAGCGAATAGCGAAAAGGTTTGTAAGCACTGGAAGAAAAGGTGGGACATTGCCGAGGAAATTTGAGAGGATAGAAGCACATCCGCAACACAAAGTGTGTCTGGGAAATCAGAGAAGTTACAAAAGCTTCAAGTGTTTTAAAAATCTTTATAGCTTGAAATAACAGCGGTGACATATCTGTCTCCTGTTTTCTAGAAAATTTACCGAAGACGTTAAGGGAATTCCATGTGGGCAATAGTGCCAGGTTAAAGGCGGACGATTTCCTTCAGAATTACCAGCTTATTCTTAACGTTGTGCATAGGTAAGTCAGTTGTAAATAGTTGAATATTTAACGCGATTCGTGGTCTAATTGCGTGCAGAGCTGCGAGCACTTTGCTCGATTTTTGCGGTACCTAACTTATCCCATCGGTCAAATTATTTTTATTGATCTGAGATCTCTCACCGTATGTCGTAGCTCTCTTTCTAAGCATCAGTCTAATGCCCTAAGTTAAATTTCAGAGATGATTTAGAAGACGGTGTTGAATTTGAAGTAGAAGGTGATTTACCCGAACCCAAACCAGATGGTCCTGAACCGGCTGCGTCTACAGCGTTAGAAGAAAGAGAGAACCAACCTGTAGCGGGTAAGTTCATTTGAGAAACCCTCTGTGATAAAAAAAAAAAAATAACCTCATTTTCAGATAAAAGTGCTTCGGATATCTTTATCTGAGTATTACAGTTAGTGTTGTAAAATTCTCTGCATCAGTTAGTAGTACTAAAAACTACGTTGAAGAGTTGATGAAAATGGCCGAACACACCTAAATGCGGGCTGTCTGTATGGTCTACCGGACCCATGTAAGAAGCATGAAATATCGTCACGACTTTAGAAACTTATGCCAATCAGTTTCTAACACCCTAACTAGGATTGTCGATCCACTGCGTATGGCTCCTGCGCTCCTTGAACGTCCTTGAAAGAAAGTATAAGTTTCTAGCACAAATCGCGAAAGTGAGTTTTTCTTTCAAATCCCGCGTCCGCTTATGTTTGGCACGTAATAAACGACTAAAAAGTCCTTTAAAGTCCTTGAACTGGGTTCCCGAAAAAGTGCAAGAACCCTAACTGCAAATCTTAAAGTATTCACTCGTATCTATTTATTAGGCGACACAGAGGAAGTGATGGTTGTGGATGAACCAGCTCCCTCGCGGAAGAGGAAAGCCGACGAGTCAGAATTACAGACTAGAGAGCAGCAAGACTTAAAGAGTTCAAAGCGAGCACGAGTGTCTAATGTGCCAGCGGATGAGGATGACGACGACATTATTGTTCTTTGAGCCGTAAAGACAAGTTCTTCTGAAGTTGTCCTTACGGAGTCGAAGAAGTTTACCTCAAGATATTTTGTATCATCTGTGGCGCCGCCCAGGATTATCTTCAACTTGAAAGAGAGTGAAAAGTATAAGGGAAATTTAAGCTCGGCGCTTACGGCGAACGGCAAAAATTAAAATCTTGCCGTCGTCTTTGATCCGTTTGTGCGCTAAAAAGAAAATATTTTCCGTAACTTTGAACAGGATGTTTTTTCGCTATTTTTCTTAAGGGTTTATTGAAGAGTTATGGGAAAAGTGAGTGTAATTTGGCTTCGTTTTTGCCGTCGTCGTGAACGTCTTACACAAATCCAAAGTACGTTTGTTTAGATGCAGAAGAATCAAAGAGGGAATACTGGGTTAAGGAGGAACAGGGATACCTCTAAGGCTATCGGCTGTACGTGAATAAAGATTGACCTCCGAAGCAAATTTTGAATATCCGACGTATAGCGCGTTTGCCCTACGTCGTTTGGCTCCGATTCTAAGCGCTAGCGCTAGACACGGAAGAGTGGTTCAAAATTCGCTATGGCAGTTGACCTAGTACCTTAATCAACTTTTATTTGAAAACCAACCCAAGACTGGTTTTCTCTAACGTAGGAATCGGAGTCCGTGTCCATATCAGAAGTGCAAAGTGATAAGATTCGACGAAAATCAAACTGACGGAACCAGAAGCAGAGTATAAATGCTGTTTGTGACTGACTGTTGGGGTGTATAACCTGGGAAAAACATATTGCTGGAATCGTCAGTCATCAGATGGCCTGAGAAATTGCATTCTCATTTAGAGTCACTGGTTGCTTATTCTGCTTCTGATTGAGACTCTGACAATCTAGTTTTCCCTACATCAAAAGCGTCGGAGTGTTATGCGTAATCGGAAGAAAAAGCTTTCGTTTTGATTCCTCCAACTTTGACACTGTTAAGCTTCTGACTCAGTTTACAAAACCGATTTTCAATTCTTGTTGCGACTCTGTCGCTTATGAAAAATTGCTTTTCTTGCTTGTCGGCGCCTCTCAGCTGTCTTTAGAAAATTACTTCGATTGGACATCAGCCGAATGGACATCAGTTTCAAAAGTTTCGTATTAGGAATTTTAATGCGACAGCTACAGTCAAGCATCTCACTGAAATAAGTTTTAGTAAACGTAAGATTTTCACTGTTCTTACTTTGTATAGTGCATATTGAAAAGGTTGAATAGTTTCTCTCAGCCAGTGAAAGAAGTATTGTTCCGTTTAAGATTCACATAGATAGTATTAAAATTGTTAATTAGACTTGCTTGTCAGAAATAAATTTTAATAGTTTTATTGTTACTGTTGCTTTAGCTTTAGACCCGTTCGACACAAGCATTAACAAAGCGGTAGAGGCCTGGCATTGAACTAGGCTTAAGGAAGGCTTAAGTATACTATAAAAGACGGACAGATTGTGTTATTCTCAACGCAACGAACAACGGCAAAGTTCTTAACAACCGGAAGCATGTTTGCGCTGTTGCTAATTTATGTCCGTCTCAGCCTTTTTCTGAAATAGTTCCTTGTTTCGCCGTCCCGCACTCTGCGAATGTTTACAGCATTCACTTGACTTCCCAACTAGTTCAAGCGTGTCCGTACAGCAACAGACTAAACTCTAGGCCGGCAAAATTCAAAGTAACTATCGCGAAGGGCTTCTTTGTATTTTCAGTTTGAGTCGGTAATTCCATGCGGTGTTTCAGACAACATTTCAAAGAACACCGAAATCGTTTCATCGGTTCATATGTCATGATTTCTTTCGATTCTCTTCCAATTATTTGTGAACAGATGAGAATTGAAAAACAAGGCGGGAAATTAAAACATAATTTGAAAGCCCTTGCGAAGGGAAAGAAGTTACCACTTGTTCCTCAGCTTAGTTCAGAAGAGACTAAACCATTACCTCTTGTTATATTATTATTTTAAGTTTATTTACTTGATTAACTTTAATTTTATTTTTCCTCTCACTTTGTTAAGCGCCTGGATCTATCATTGGATAGGCGCTATAGAGATATCATTATTATTATTATTATTGTTATTATTATTATTATTATTATTATTATTATTATTATTATTATCAAACCTCCTTGTAAGGTTCTTTCGCTTCTATTTCCTTATACCTAGCTTAACATTTTACCATCTGACTCATTCTTTAAACCACGACGCTTTAGATATTGCCGATCTTTGTAGTAAGCAGGGTGAAATCCCTGGACTGAGGTTCGATCATGATTCCGTCATGGGTAATTCATAATATTTTCTTTGTCTAGTCCCATACTCGTAGCAAGACGATAACATATTTCCCTCTAGACTTTAAAATTAAAGGAGGATTGATTAGTGCTAGCACTTTCCTCTTTACACGAATGAAACACTTTAAATCTACTACAATCAAGTTTAAATCTTTTTTTTTTCCATAAGACTCACGACTTTCTTTCAATTATGACAACAGACAACACTTCAATACGCCATCAACCCGAAGGATTTGTATTTCAGAAAAAAAAAATCTCAAGCAGGGCATATTTTTGAAAACGAAACGAAAGAACTAAGCTGGGGAACGAGCGGTAACTTCTTTTCCTTCGCAAGGGCTTTCAAATTATGTGTTTTAATTTTCCGCCTTGTTTTTCAATTCTCATCTGTTCACAGATAATTGGAAGAGAATCGAAAGAAATCATGACATATGAACCGATAAAACGATTTCGGTGTTCTTTGAAATGTTCTCTGAAACACCGCATGGAATTACCGACTCAAAAATACAAAGAAGCCATCCGGGATAGTTACTTTGAATTTTGCCGGCCTGGAGTCTTTGTCAACTTTTATTGTTCAGGTGTGAAGGTTTGAAACTTCGTAAAAAAATGAACTTCAAAGATCTTCGGCTCGGAGACCACTAGCGTTGTTCATTTAAGAATAACTTGACGATAGGAAACTGAAATCACAATCCAAAATTCCCCGTTTAATATTTAGCTGACTGTGCGATTTTGCTTTTACACCTCGTCCAGCGGTGAAAGAAGATCGAAGTCGACTTTTCTACTTTTAGAAAATGTTGCAGTTTGCAGAAAAAGCTTATTTAAAGCTCAATCAGATCTTTAAGGGCGTAAACTGAATGTCTAAACTTATCAACAATGGATGGGATCAGGAACTTTGCGTGCGTAATGCCACGAATAACACGGACTTTCTAAAAACAAAAACTAACTTAAGTTCATCCTGTCTCTTCGAAAGCGTGACGCACCGACAAAGGAAACAACCTTTCTACTTTGTGCTAAGTGTATACTAGAAAAGAAAGCGCAAGCCTTACTGAAGTGAATTCGATCATCTATCAATCGAATTTTAGTACAGTTTAGTCAGGTGTTACGCGCCATTTTACCGAGCGGTACCCCCTGACCGCCAATTAGCAGGTGTAATATAAAGAAGTACAGGATTGGCCACCGCCGGCGGTAGGAATAGAAGGAGTGTTTTCATTGGTCAAATGTCTGGGGAGGCTCTGATCATTGAAAAGCGCGCAAGCTTGATATATGAAAGAGGGAAATGGTTGTATTATTGCTTACATTCTGATCGTATACTTCTCGATTGTGGCAAGTCTTCGACATTTTTTAAATTCAAAATATCTTAGTATCGGTTTGTAGTAGCTTGATTACCTCGTCGTGTTATTAGTCTATGATGGCGAAGAGAAATAGAAATTTGGTTTCGTGCATCATGGCATCCCAAGTTTCTGGAAAATGCATCAGAACAAACATGGTGAGTTCGATTCTTCTATCAGATTCTAGTTTGACAAGTGCATAGGTGGTGATATTCTCGTTTCGTTCTTTCAGCTTCCCAAAGATTTCATAGAAGATGTGGATCGCCGTTTGAATTTTAAAGAGATACCTGTTATTTTGGCGAAGCTTGAACGACATAGCAGTCTCCAGAGGTTTAATGTCACGAAATGTATGAGATACATAGAGGTAGGGATTCGATTTTAATCCGTATTTCATCGAGCTTAGAGATGATTATTTTTACTTCTCGTCATAATAGCTAGATTGTGTTGTGAATATATCATGCATTTCACGATATCAGTCAATCTAATCAACCTTGTTACGAAACGACATTACAATTGTTCTGTGCAGTGACTTTGACGTGTTTACTCGATTAGGTTCTTCGATTTTAATGTGAGGTACTATTCTTTCTTATGATCTACGTTATTTTTCTTTTAGGAACTTTCACACTTCTTCTCAGAGACAATGAGTGTATCAGAGATGTTTTACAGCGAAAACGAACTTCCAGTTTACACGAAGGAGAGAGCTCGAATTGGTCAAGTTTTAAATTTATTCGGTGGAGTGGAGGTAAGCCATGTTAATTGTGAATCTGTTTTGTTTATTCCAACTTTGAAGTTAGTCGATTTTGTTTACTATTTGCTAAGAAGGGTTTTCGTTGAAGAATTTATTTATTAGACTAAACTGGGTAAAAAATTTACTCCACTATTACTTTTTTAGAAGTCCATTAACACACCGTATTTCCGAAAGATTTCAACACCGTTTCAAAATGTTTGTAATGCCTGCTCGAAGGTGTAGAAAATTGCGATTAGGATCTCAGTTATAATTTCGAAGCCGGAATTCGACAAGAGTCCATTGAAGAACTCACGCTCTATCTTTGTTCGTGAATCATCCTATAATTATGTTGTCTTCGAGGACATAACTACGAAACTTTGACCAGGTCGACGTAGTATTTATGGCTTTTGTTTTTATCTTTTTACCATGTCAACCCTTGTTGCTGGTATTACAGATCTCTCGCGGGAAGAATTTTCTATTTTAAACAGCTGTTATTGGCATATTTGTTTCTCGGTCGTTGTTGTTTTTGTCGAAATAGCGTTTATTACTTGCTTCCTGATACAAGGTGGTGTCAACGGGTCAGACTAAATGTCATTCCCTTACTTCCGGTTCAGATTCTGTAATCATTGTTAACGGTTCTCACTGCAACACCTTACACAGCTGTTCCTGTTGTTGTAGCTGCCCTAACTCAGTCAGTTGCTTGTTCCTCAGTCAGTCTTTATTTTATTCTTGACAGATTGTGGTGCAAATCCTTTTTTATCCTGTTACTTATGGCTTCAAGCTTTGCAAGATAAAACCAACAAGTGAGCGTAGTAAATGTAGAAAGATATTTTGATAATCAAAGTAATATTGAAGCACTTTAGAATTAATTCAAAACTTGTGTTGGGTTCCACATGAACCACAGTCACATGTCTGCGTTGTATTTAGTCTCTTGTCTGTCTTCTTTCATCACTCATGAAATGACTTGAAGAGTGGTGCAAATATATATATAGACATTTCTTGTTGTTGATCATGCAGGGCTGCAGCAAACAGAATTGTACCTAGGGTGTCTTGATTTCATCCATAACATTTGTCTTGTGGTAAGTACTGTTTAACATACTGGTAATGCTATTGTGTTTATCTGCTTTGAATGCCAATCCACACCATATTTTACTAAACTTATAAACAAGTTAGCTATGATATTGAAATAAAGTATGTTCTCGACAAATCATCAAATAAAAGATACGCTAAGGTTTTCATGCCAGCCCTCATGCACATGTAACCATCAAGTTGCACTTTATTTTAATGCATTATTCCTTGACTTTTTCTCTGGACAGGTTGATGGAGTTGCTATTAATTTGGCAAAGAGAAATGAATTGATTAGTCATTTGTTCACTCTCCTAGAACAAAAGAAAACCTTTTCGTAAGTTTCAAACTTTTATTTCATTTCTTTATTGGGAAATAAAGCAAAATATTTATTTTTTGGGTTATAATTATGTTCTATTATATTGCAGCCGTGCATTGGTGGTATTAGAAGATCTGTTTGGTTCCAGAAAAGAACTTATCGATTTAGACCGCATTGGTATGTTAAATTTTTTTACCCAGCACGTCAAGACTATATGAGCTGTTCATTGGTATAATTCCACTTTTTTGCGAGAAGTCCTATATGTTTATATATTTTTTTATTTTTTTTTTTTCAGTAAATATGAGAAAACTGATAAACATCTTAGATCAGAAACAACTGGGGAACTTTTGTCGTGTTTTGTCATTTACCTTATCAGATTTGGAATCTGTAGAGGAGAGAAGTACTTGTGAGTGTTGTTATTTAATTCATTCCTTAAGGATAGTTTGAAAAATTTTACTGCACAGTAGTTTCTAACCAGTCATTTTAACCCCTTTGAACCCAAGAATGACCCACATCTGATTTCTCCATACAATTAAAGTGCCAAATCATTCATTGAGATCATGAAAGTAAAGGAAGTGATTGCCAACCTAAAAAAATATTTGATTGGTGTAGACAAATTCTCCTTGTCAGCACCAAAGGAAAAATGTTTTGAGAAGAGTATTAGAGAATGTGAATAGGATGTAAAATGTTAAATACAAGTGATAACCAACATATTTTTTACTTTTGATAGTGCTAGCCCAAGATGAAGTGGACAGAAGAGGAATGTCACAGAAGGATGTTGCTGATAATAATCAAGGTCCGTATTTATATATGTTCTAGTTTTATCAAGTGTTGCGTTAAGTGTTGTGCCTGATAGTGATGGGGAGGTCTGCGTGTCTTAATGATCTTGGAGGTCTTACCAACGGTGACTTTGGTCACTGGTAGGTTCAACCATGTTGGGCAAGTTCCAAGTGAGAGGCCTGACTAATTGCATCACCTGGCCCTCCAGGTTGAGGGTTGGGCGAAGGGCTAATATCCCTTCCCTGTACAAAAAAATATTATTACTGAAACCAGAAGGCCTTATGCGCAACAGAACACGAAGGAGACTGATGATGATGAGTTTTATCAAGTATATCTAATAACTAGATTATGAACTTCAGTTGTCTATCTCATGAGAGTTGTACACTTCTGGGGTTAACACTTCACTATTATATAATATACATTTCATTCTGCAGCCAATCAGACTGCAGTATTAGTGATAGACTAGACTATTACTTGGTTTTAATAAAGGCTACTAGAACTAAATGTAGTGTAACTATGTTACAGCCAGATATAATATGAATCTAAATATATATTGATGCTTAAAGAGCACACTGAAGTTTTATGTTTATGGTTCTATTGCAGCAACACTCATAGGTTTAAAGGAATTTCTCCCAAGGATAGTTAGACTGGCATGTCAGCCAATGGGTAAGATTTAATTTTTTTCTGGGTCTTGATTAGTTTTATCAACAATCTAATGACAAATATTGAAGTATCTAAATAAAATTTTCCTGATTAGTGGATCAATTGAATAACAATATCGTTTTTTTTTCTTTTGCAGTAGAGAGATCATCCCATTTCCTGGACATGGTTGATTTCCAAACATTCTTGCAAGATGTCTTTATGTCAGAGGGGCTTGATTTAGGTGAGCAGTCTTCATAAGAAATATCCTAATGATTAGCTTTCATTCTCTATTTATAAATTATCTGAGATTGATCTTTTTTATACAAAATTCATCCAAGTTCACTTGCTGTGGAGCCCTCTACATGGCATCACTCTAATTTCACTGACATGCATGAGTTATTCCCTTTGCAGAATCTGATGAGCATGAATCATTAGGACATAGGACTTTACGATCTTCTTTTAGCCACATACAGGGTCACATACATGAGGTTTGTACAACTGGACTGATTTTATAACAGCATTAACATGAAAAGGAGTATTGTCGTGTTGCACAGGCACAACATGTTTGTGATTAATTGTTCCAATATGGTTTGATTTGTCACTTATGTGTGGTATTGATTTTCTGATTATTATTTCTAGGTGATGCATAAAGTGGAGGTTTTCTATGTCCTTTGTTTGTTCCTGACTGGAAAACACAAGTTAATTGTGAGTTTAATTTTTTTTTAACAAGGAATTTTCCAGTAGTTAGTTTAAGGTAGACAGGTTGTCACAGAGCAATCCTTTATTGCAAAGGATGTTAATTCCCTTACCGAATGGACAGATATGTAAAGTATCTGCAAAACTGTCCTTCTCACATCTGTTACAGTACTGCACAATGTTTGTAATGGTTTTATTCATATCTGGAGCATATCTGCAATGTTTGCAGATATTTCACAGATATGTAGGAACTTCTTTCAAATATCTGCAAAGTGTCTGAGGAAATTGACATATATTTAACATGTATGTAGGCGATCAACTGAACAGAATGAGTTATAAATCAAGGATCCATCTTTTGTCATCATATGCCAGTCGTGATATTTGAATTTTCCCCCAGTAGGGGACCATATTCAGCTTAATGCTGACCAAACATTGAGTGTCCAAACATGCAGCAACCTCACTTTTAAACCATCAATTTTGCAAAACTACAAAGACCTCTATGGAAAATAGCATATTGACTGGGTGACATGTAACTGTTTGCAAAAGGGGTCTACTCAGCCATGATGTCTTTAAAAATACATCTTATTGCGGTATTTAACTTCAATTGTGTCCTTAAACAAGAATAAATACTGATTACAAATGTAGGATCCAGAAAAAAAAATTCACACAATCAATTTTCTGTTTGTACATCAATTTACCTGCTTTGCAAATCTAACATGAACACAGCTCAACCTTTTAATAAACAAGAGGGTTGTTGTTGTCTCTAAAGTGTTAAGCTTGCATCAACTTTCCATTATCGTCAACTAAACCCATATCTGGAATTATTTCATTACTGTTCAGTTTTTCTACGTTTTCATAAAAGTATGAAGGAAGTTCTTCATAATTTTGTACTTCAACGCTATCCACAAGTGAGCCTGAATCAAAAACTGTGTCCTGCAGTGTGAATCCTGACCATCCATTTTCAGCTGTTGAAGAATTCGAAACCAGCAATCAATTGGAACCATCGATGTGTTCTTCAAAACACCGTGGATCGAGTTAATGGAGGGGTTGGTTTGAAATTATTACAGCTTG